ACAAAAGGAAATATTGAAACCTGTGAGCCTTTTTATTCCCAGGGATTTAAAGTCTTTAGTACCGTCAGCGGAATAAAAGGTGCTGCAAATTGCTTCGCTTAATCTATCCCTCCACTTTACTCACATTCTCTCCATGCGGTAATTCTCCGATAAAATCCGCGGAATTATGGTATTTTCCGCTATAAATCTCCATAGGCCAAAATTTATGCTCCTAAAGTCCCATAATACTACTTAAAGTGCCATAATACTACTAAACAAAAAGATGTTCTACTAATAGTTCTCCGTATTGGCAGCAGCCGTAGTAGTGCCCATATCACATCGACAAGCTGGAAAAATTGCTATCGAGCAACATGATGTTTTAGATTAACAAATGTACTACGTAGTATTCGAACCCGTCTAAGCAGAAACCCATGGCTTTACCGAATGATCGGTATAGAAGTCGAAAGCTACTACAAACTACCTAACGTCTACGCTCTACTTGTCCGCAACGCGAGTCATACTCGGCCTGGATCTCCTCGGCCGACTTGCCAGACGTCTCCGGCACCAGCTTCAAGGCAAGCAGGTAAAAGATTGCCAGCAGCACCACGAACGGAACGTACGCGTAGTCGTCCAGAGCATCCGAAATGTACGGGTACGACACACCCACGATGAGGTTGCACAGCCAGTTGATGCCAATGCACAGTGAAGACGCACTGGCGCGGATCGAGTCTGGGAAAATGTCGGCCGTCATGACCCACACCAGAGGACCCAGCGTCACACCGAACACGATCACGTACAGAGCAGTGAACACAATCGACAGAGCAGAAACGTCCACGATGAACGCCACCGTCATACCGATGGACATGACCACCATGCCCGACAGACCCCACAGGATCATGTTGCGAGCACCGAAGCGGTGGGCCAGCACACCCGTGAAGAAGGCCGGGAAGATGTTGATGAAGTCAATGATCAGCGTGCCGACACGCGAGTCCGAAATGCCCGCGTTCTGAGAAGATGCTGCCGGAGTAGTAGAACACAGCGTTGATACCCGAAAGCTGCTGAGCACACGACAGCAAAATACCGCAAAGAAGCTGCATGCGGTAGCGCGGGTTGAACATCGACTCCTGCTTGGGGGTCGAGTCGATGAGTCCCTCTTCGGCGCTGCCCTTGCTCACCTCAAGCCACGACAGGGCCGTCTGCACGTGCTCCTCGCCATACAGACGAGCAATCACCTGCTTGGCCTCCTCCTTGCGTCCCTGATTCAGAAGCCATGCAGGGCTTTCAATGCACATGGTCGGGGCCAGCAGCAGGTAGACGACGGCCAGCACGACGGGGAGCGCAGCCAGGTAACGCCAGCCAGAACTCGTGTTGGCGAAGAAGAAGCAGATTGCCGGCACCAGAATACCGATGGTCGTAAAGATCTGGAGGCCCAGGCCGAGCGTGTTGCGCATGTGCGGCGGCGACAGCTCGTTGATGTAGCCGCCGATGGTGGCAGTGGCCGTTCCCGACGAAATACCGGCAATGAGGCGGCCCAGTGCGAACAACCAAACATTCGACACGGAGGCCTGCACCACACCACCAACGATCATGAAGATGCAGTTGCCCATGAGAGCCTTCTTACGGCCGTACTTGTCACTGAAGAGGCCGCAGCACAACGAGCCGACCATGGCACCGAAGATCCAGGCGTTCACGGCGAACGTCCACTCCAGCTTCGAGTGGCCAGGGAACATAAGGCACGTGTCCTCCGCCACGGGACGAGCATTGCACTCGTCCGTGTCATTGTACTGCGACAGGTTCATCTGCGAGGTGGACCAACCGCTCTGGAACGGCTGCATCCACGACAGCAGCGCAGTGGTGTACAGGATAGCCTTGGGCTTGATGAGACGCGCAGCGGCCTTGTTGGCCTCGTCGAAGGCGGTCACACCGCCAGTCTTAGGTGTTGCGGCTTCCGTGTAGTCGGCCATTTGAGCTTGACTTGTTGTCGGCTTGGTCAATTGGAAAGTGAGCTTTCGGAGACTCCTGCCAAACGTGACCCTTGTGTTCCTGAACTTCCAGTGTGCACGTGTGCAGTCACAACGTCGTAAATTGTGTATCGGCTGCCAAGCTGAACTTGGCAGGTATCCTGTACGTGCTCTTACCTTTTGCCACTGAATTTTAGTTCGAAAAAACTGATGTTGCCCCGTATCTTGTTTGGTTTGAACTTGTTTCTGATCCCGAAGGGACAATAGAACAGCGCACTTCAGAAACAATCAGATGTTTGGTAAGTCGCACATTTGCTGGGATGGGAGGTCCGCATTGCTCTCGTTTGACTTGGCTCGAGTATGTGAGGCTGCTTGGTGAAAGAACACGAGGCTCGTGGTACATGCACTTTCTAGCTAGCCGAGATCAAGTAGAGTTCGGACTTAGGGTGCACAGCGACGAGCCCTCCAGTGTGACTTTGTGTTAGCAAATTACGAAGTGCAACTGTAAAAGGTTTAGGAATTGTACAGTACATGTACTTCGAAAAACTTCTGAAGTGCATGTAAGGGTCCGTGGCGTCGGTCTCCCAAGTTGAAAGACCGCTTCTTCGTGCCTCTTTTCTTCAGCACTTAATTTCTGAGAGTTACCGCACAAACTTTCCATGGAGAAAATATAGTTTTCACAAGTAGAAATCTGAGTAACACAATAGCCCATCCCCCACAATAAACGCGGACAGGCCAGCTTTAAGATTTGCAGTAGGCGGCTCTCGGTCTGTACAGTGGGGTAGGGTTGACAAGCCAGCGAAAGCAGGTCACATGAAGGTGCGATGAATGTAGCGTGTCATTGCTGTTTTGTGTGGTCTTACACTCATTATCGTATCTTCCCGCAGGTCCCAGCAGCAGCGACCACAACCAACGAGCTACCAGCGCCTCCAGCAGCGGGACGTTGTCGATGGTGGGGCTGAGCGCGTCGGATCTACTACCCCAGACCCTCAGAGCCGGCGAGACACTTGAGTATTACACCCGAGCCTTTGTCTGTGGAGACCCTAGAGGTCAGCGCATTGCAGTCGTCACCAGAGTGGACACCACTCCTGACGTCGATTTTCCGATCTCCGTCGACACGGAAGAGCCCATACCGTTGGATATGATGACGAAGAGGCTGTCGGACTTCTCGGGCGCCCCGGTTCCGCTGTCCGAGTCGCAGTGGCGCAAACTCCGGACCTACCAGCTCGAAGGTGGATCTGTGCCGGCCCCTTCACGCTCTAGCGTACTAAAACGAGCGCTTCAGAGTGTTGTGGGTGATGCAGTAGCAGCCGTTCATCAGGCACTACGAGATATGCGTGAGGATATTGTCCCTGAGAGCCCTCAATCGGACTTCGATAGTCCAAACACACACATTCAGCCTGGGACCGCACTTAGCAGCTCCAAATCTGATGCGATGGAGGCGCTAACGTCTGGAGCAATTGCTAGTCATGACGTGAAGGAGAATACAAGAGAGGAAGAAGGCAGAAGACCGTCTATTTTGGAGATTATCAATTTAGTTTCGTCCGAAGAAGATGACGAGCGTGGGGTTGCTGTATCTACGGAGGATCAGGCTGCTGCGTACGTGAAGGCGATCCCAACCCGGTATGTACGAGCCAAGATTCGCCACCAGCCTAAGAAGAGGCGTGCTGAGTGGCATGTGCCAAGGTCGAGGAAGCGCTGTAATCAGAAGAAGTGTGCGGCGGTTACTAGTAGTGGCATGAACGTCTATCATGCCAGGACGTTGAAGGCGAGTCGTATGAAAGACATTCTGAGTTCACCAGAGGTAAAACGTCGCCTACAGAACCTTCATGATCGACGCAAGTCATTGCCGGAGACTCCGTCCCAGGAGGAGGAAGCGACGTCGCTGCAGCACCAAGGATTGGAGTGGCCAGATGACGTTGAGCACCTAACGAGCTGCAAAAGCAATGGCGTTCTCTTTCCAGACATCGGAAAGTTTGATAAGTGCGAGTGCGTCATTGATTGTTTCCTCGACGGTTGTAAGAACGTTTTTAGTGCTACGTTTTGCACTCCTGATTGCTGCAGCCTCGGTGCGATGTGCAGCAATGCTCCACGCACGCTCGATACCCGTCTTTGGTCCTCCCGCCGAGTTCGGTGACTGCCTTCAGACGTGATACATGGACCACTGGGTAGATCCTATATCCACTCTTGTCGGGTAACGCCAATTCATAGGCGAATTCTTCAACCTTCTTCTTCACCCTGAATGGTCCATGACATCGGTGGGCTAACTTCTTGGTCAGGCCCGACTTGACTCGCTCGATAAACAACCAGACTTGATCTCCTTCTTTGAACAAGGATTTGGTGGATTCATCACCTGGTTCTGCAACTCCATCTTCGTCATCTGCTGTGTTGGGAATGGATCTTTTCTCCTTCTTGCTCAACGCTTCGTTGTGCTCTCGAGCTCGTCGTGCTTTTTCTCGCACTTGGAACTCAGCTGCTAATCTAGGTGCCACTTCTCGTTGTCTGTTCGCTTCTCGGCGCCACTCGACTGCGTCCGCCGAGTTGACTGGGCGTCCCTGTCCACGTCGTATTGAACTCGTCATAGCCTTGAGTGTAGACTTGGCGTCCCAACCATGTACCAGATAGAAAGGGGTTTCTCGCCGAGTTGAATCTCTTGAGTTGTTGATAGCGTGTACCATCTTCTTTTGGCGATGTCATCCCAGTCGGCTTGAAGT